ATAAAATGGCTGAAATTTCTCATTACCTAAAGGATAAACAAAGTCTAAAACATCGTATTAACATTTAAGGCAATCACAACAGCGAGGACACAGGGGCCAACAAAGAGATCAAGAGATCTTTTCCCTGCATGTGTGATTTGGCCTTCATCTGTTAAATACCTAATATGTGTTAGGAAGTCTGCTATTAAGTAAAATAAGGTGATATTTGAGAGCTTATTCTTTATCATACAGCCTTCTAAGGGAAAAGAGCTTAGAAAAATCTTTGGCTTAAGGACGGAATAAATATTACTTGCTATTATTCTATTTTATATGTAGCATTACATCACACTGTGCCCTTGCAATGATCTGTGAAGCAAAATCGTAACAGGTGCTGTTGGTACCCCCTCCCCTATCACCAGGCAGGCGCATTGTCTCCTTGTGGCCATGTATGTTGCTTGCTAAGAGTTTATAGCTCCTCTCTCCAGAGACTTGCCTTCAATCCAACAGGAATCACCTGGGAGATTGCCTTCTACAACAACCGTAGGAGTCAGGGGCCAAGGGCTGAGAGACTCAAGGCCACAAAAAGTGGGCTCTTGCTGCCAAATGAAACTGCCTTGTGGCCAAGCTCAATAGCTTCCCTGTGGATTAGACTAAAGCTGGCCCCAGTAGCGGCCACATCCACTTTTCTCTTCACCAGGCCCACTCCTTGTAATCTTCCTGCCTTCCTCTGAGATACTTCCGAAAGCTTCTGTCTCAGGTTCTGATCATGAGACCCTGACCAGAACTGTGCTCTCAATATCCTAACTTGCAATGAGGAAAGAAATAGGGGTTGCTAAAGAACTTTCCCAGAATCCCTTCTAGACCATATAGTAAGATGAATTTGAACTCAGGTAGTCCAAGACCATACTTTTACTGATGCTATTAAAAAGCAGAGTTATTTAAGTTCACAAAGAATTTATGTGTCAATAAAAGTTATGTTAGTAAACATCGGGTCTAACGGGGTTACATATCTGTAATTTTAGTATTGGAGAGGTTGAGTCAGGAGAATTGTGAGTTTGAGGCTGGCTTGGGCTATACAGCAAGATCCTGTTTTAAAAAGTAACAAACAAAACGTATCAGTTCTAGCCACTTGACTAGGATGCTGAGAAATGAAAGTCAATCAGATGTGGTCATTGTGCTTCCAAAAGCCTACAGAGTCACCAGTAGGAAACAGTGTGTGTTGTAAGGATCAACACGCACACATACATGCACAAAGAGAGAGACACATGCACACATGCACACACACACAGAAAGAGAAAGAGGGACAGAGAGAGAGAGAGATAAAGACTGATTTACAATGGTTCATCTATGGATTTTTTAGCTTTACAGTGGTATGAAAGTGGTACCAATGCAATAGAAACCATACTGTGAATTTTGATCTTTTCCTGAGCTAGCAGATATGATACACTCTCATGACAAGCCACACTCCCAGGCAATTGTGTGAGTTACCGAATACTTCATTTTAACACAGACTTATATAACATGATTTTGCCCAACTGTAGGCTAATGAAAATATTTTGAGCATATTTAAGGGTAGGCTAAGCTAACCTATAACATTTGACAGGTTAAATGTGTTAAATAAAAGTTTTACTACAATATTTTCAGCTTATGATGGTTTTATTGAGGTATGATCCCATCTTAATTCAAGAAGCATCTGCACACAAACACAAACATACATAAACCTATGCACACATGTACAAACCAATACACACATACATGAATGAAAACTCATACATTTCTTTTACTATGGACTTCCTTACAGATGCCAAAAAAGAATATGATACCATAGTTTCTATAGTCTAGGAATATATTTGTTAATAGAATAAAATCAACATTTCAGATATTTTAATCATATGCCTATATTTCTTTTTTTATGTTGCTTTGTTTCTAAATAGTGTAGTAGGAAGTTTAAAAACAAACACATGAGAGCATTATATAGTAATATTATAAAATATTTGTGTATTTCAGAAAGTAATAATGGTGTTTATATAAGGGTAATCTACAGTAAGATGAGCCAAAAACCAATACAAAACTGCAAATCACTTAGGGAGGTAATAATATGAATGTTCAATTTTAGATATTCATTATTCTTGCCAAGTCATGTTTTCTAATTACCGAATACCCACAGTCTGTGTTCTAAGTTCTCTCTTTCCATTATCCACAGCCTCACTGTTTTCTTTCTGAGTTCTGCAGCATCTGCTGATGGTCACAGTACCGGCCCCAAGGGGCCAGGACTTAGGTAAAGTGAACATTGAACCTGGAGTCCTGGGTTTATATCACCGCTTTAAATTTACTGACATTGAATTTAGTTGTCTCATCTGAATAAATGGAGGAAATAGTATCTACTTCGCATAAGTTTTGTGATATTTACATAGGGTGGCATCTTGATGGCACCTGAGAAGATGGCGCTAGAAAAATCAATAGGTCCATAGCTAATGCACCACAAAGGGTGCAGCCTTAACCACAGGAGCCCTGCAAATTAGAGTCAGAAGTCAGAAGCAGCAATGAAAGGAACCACAGACACTTCTTTACTTAGATAAACCAATCAATGTTTTGCCAAATTTGCACATTTCTTGTTATCATCAACAGCAGTGGTGACAGTTGCTGCAGTAGATTTGGCAGAAACATCTGAGAGAAAATCCCAGGTGTCCTGGTTTTCACCCCTTAGATACACGTATGTGTATCAAACTGGCAAAGACTTTCTTTTACACACATATTCACAGCAAAGTCATCAAGTGATCCATGGTTCAGAAGCTAATATTTGAATTTTCCAATTACCCCAATAATGTCTTCTATTGCATTCTTTTCCAGTCCAGGATCACATACACTTGTCATTTTTAGGGAGGGTATCCTATATGAGAAATTTTTGTGTACTGCATGATCACAAAAAGCTTCTTCCATCTGATTTTAGAAATTTTATATAGTTTCAGTTATTTGTAAGTCTATAAATGGATCCTTTACTCAATGAGCAATAATCTATTGCCATTAGTGTTCACTTGATGTTCATATTGTCCCACTAGGACCACTAAAAGCCCTTCCAAGACAGCTCCTTGTTAAGTGATTCCTTATTTTCTGGTGTTTCAGGCTCATTTTGTACTTCAACAGCTCCAATCCTGAAGTTTACCATTTCTCCCAAAGAATTCTCATTCTTTTTAGTGTGATTGATTGATTATTTATTTGCAGTGCCAGCTAAATGGGAAGTTGGTGCATGGCAGTGCCACTGGAGCAGTTGGGGATGACCTACCAACTGCGGACACTTGTTAATCCCCCTTTCAGAACAGCAGCACCCAAACCTGTCACAGGAGCAAGCTAAGCCCTGCACTTGCCATCAACTGAGGAACAAACATGCCAAATCTGGCACCTGATGTCACTCTTCCAGCACAAGATTAATGGGGGACCACCTGGATGAGCTATCAAAGAAGACATAAAAGGATGGTAGTGATTGGTTTTTAAATTTTTTTGTTTTTAAGAGCAGAATTTATCCATTAGGGAAAGAGAGCTTCTGCGGCCACTGCCCTTTTGTTCCTGCAGGGGTTCATCCTGCTTGCAGGATGTATCTTCTCTCTCTTCTCAGAGCACTCTTTTCTCCCTGAGCACTTCTCTTGTGCTCCTCTTTTTTCTTTTCTTTCTCTTATTTCTGCCCTGTTTCTGTGCAATCTTTTACATCCACCAGTTGTCCTGACCAATCCACTGATTGGGACAAATAAGAGCCTGGGAAACACTGCGGGCCCCTATCCTGTCCAGGAACACTGGTACAGGACCCAGGGCCCCACACGTGGCAGGCAAGTGTTCTACCACTGAGCTACAACACAGTCCCACTTTTTCTTTTTTAGTGTGCTATTTAAAAACCAAGATTTAGGACTTGGTTGCTTATTTTTGTCGTGATATTACTGCTTCTAGAGTCTTTCAGTAGATAGACCTAGGAAATAACTCTGTATACTGTTTAGATTATTCTAATTCCAGCAAAATAAATACTTCAAGATCTTATTTTTTTCCTTGGCTGCGCTAGGGATGAAACCTAGGCAAGTGTGCATTTCCAGCCCTTCAGGATTCTCTTTTGTCTTCTATCACTTCTTGTTTGTGTTTATCCTCTCCAATGATGAGAACTCTGGCCTCTAATATGACATGTATACACTCATTAGCTTAATCCTACAATATATGAAATAGTTTCAAAATTGCAATAAACATGGCCTACAAAAAACAAACCTAATAGGATGTAAGATTCTTTAGAAATCTTTTTTGTTTTAGTCAAGGATATTTAGTCAATATATCATGTTCAATTAGATTAATTCTAATTAATCCTTTTTCTTTCACATGGTCATGCTATTAATTTGAAATATAGTTAATTGGTTTCTATTTGCATTCAGTTTTCATTTTTCATACTTGATTTAATTTCAGCTTTGAATGTGTGAAATATTCAATAAAACTATGCTAAAAAGCACATTCACAGAAGTGTTCCCTCCTATTTCTTCCATTCTATTCCTACCCACCATCCATAAGTAACCATTTTAATTTCCTGTTTCCTTTTTTTTGTTCTCTTCTTTAAAAATTTTTTTTTGGTTCTGGGGACTGAACCCCAGGGCCCTCTACCCCTGAGCTACGACCACTGAGCCACATTTCCGGTCCTTTTAAAAACTATGTTAAATTTTCAGTCAGGTTCTTGCTAAGTTGTCCAAGCTGACTTGAAATTTGTGAACATGCTTCAGCCTCCTAATAGGTGGGATTACAGCCATGCGCCACTGCAACTACACTGTTTAAAAAAAATAAATAAGTTTTCTTATTCATATGGTATTTTGTAGATTTTTGTTTTTGTCTTTTTCCTTAATTACATATCCTGAAAATCACTCCGTGTCATGGTTTATATCAGTGGCCCCCAAGCCTCACAAATTGCAGACTGGACCAAATCTAGCATTTGTGATTGGTTCCTTGTCTAGTGCTTGATTGGTGGTGTAGATGCTACACCCACTTAGGGGTGGAGCCAGGATGTGATGTAATGGCGGGAAAAAGGTGTCTCTCTGTCTCTGTCTTGCAAGTTTCTGCCTTGCTGTTGGCAGCTGCCATGAACTGCCGCCCACCATGCCACCTGCCTTGGAGCCAACTGAGTATGGACTGAAACCTCCAAGAACTGTAAGAAATAAACCTTTCCTTCCCTAACTTTGAGCGTCAGGTATTTTGTCTCAACAATGAGTAAAAAGTAACTAAGACACTCCTTATCAGTTCACAGAGATCTCCTAATTCGTTTCCTAGCTGATTGTGTGGATATCATAGATTATTAATCTCCATACTAAGGGATTTACACCTTTTTTTCAACTGTAAGTAATGCTGCAGTCAGTTAACTGTGCGCGTGGGCGTGACTGTACTGTCAGAGGTGGAATCAGAATGTGGACAAAAACCACAGGGTAATTACAATACAGGAAATTTAATATTAAAAATTAAGTTCTGAGAGAAGTATAACATGACGATGTAAAGAGCTATAATACTGGCAAACTTCTCCTAGAATGAGAAATATTTTGGCTGCACAGAATGTCACAACCATGAAATACTATATAGACAATACCTAAACAAATGGGTCTGGCTGTGTTCCAAAACTGTTTTATTTACAAAACAGGTGGTGAGTTGAGTTCAGCCAGCCAGCCATAATTTCCCTGCCGCTCTGAAGAATGCCCTAGGGTTGAGAGACTGACCAAGGCAGCACGCAGCTGGACAGGGAGCCCCCATGTCCTCGTGAGCCTGAAATGAAGATGCGGTTGCCACCCCTGGGGTGGCAGAGAGTTCTTTGGGCCCCAAATCAGTGACCCAGAGACGCCTCTCTGACACACAGGCACACAGAAGCAGTCCAGGATGGTCCAGGAGCGTGGGGTGACTCACAAAGTGGTCCACAGCGAGGTGGTCACTACGCCTAGCCTGAAATAGGAGGTGGCAGCGAGACCAGTCATTCTGAAACTACCTGATTCCGCCTCTTCACCAGCCTTCACCTCTGCCACTGCATAAAGCTATCAGACTGCAGCAAAGTAAAAGCAAGATGAGACTCACTAGAAGTTGCCCCTACTCGCCTGCAATATTTCGCTAGCGCCCTCTACCGACAAGTTAACATCGCGTTTTCTGTGAAGGGCCAATGCTTAGAATCCAGCCCATTAGTACAGAGCAGGTGCTGAAGGGTAAATTTTTAAAATTTTTCTATTTATTTATTTATTGCCTTTTAAAGACAGGGTTTCACTATGCAGTTCAGGCTGGCCTAGAACTCACTTTGTAGTCCAGGCTGGACTCAAATTCACAGCAATCCTCCTGCCTCAGTCTCCTGAGTGCTGGAATTATGGGCATAAGCCACCACACCTTGCTCTGAAGGGTAAATTTGAAGCCGAGAGACTCCTAGGGTAAATTCAAGAAAGACAGATTTGTGAACCTAGGAGTAAATAAATAGTTTGCTATAGTCAAATGAATTTATTTCCATAAGGCTTTTTCTGCATTCTCACCAGGAACATGTGAAAGTATCTTTTGTTGACTTACTAATGCTCTAGGGTAAATTACCCACAGAAAAACCTCATATTGGCTGAAAGTAAAAAGCTTGAAAGCACACTATAATAACTGTGAAGTCTTGTATCACTGTAGCTTTTGATAGTATTTTTTAATATTAATAAAGTATGATATATATTTTGATATGCTGAGGTATCTTTTTTTGCACATGATTTTGCATCTTTTATCTGTTTTTCTATGGGGTTACAAAGTTCTTAGTAGTTTAAAGCAGGAAAGCAATCAGACTACCTACAACTGCAAATCACTTGTGAAGAAATAGCTTGGTAGGATTTTTCTGTTGTTCTCTCCTAAATACCAATGCTCAAGTCTAGGTTTAGCTTTTTCAGTATTTGTTTAGTCCTTCTAGTGGGCCAGCCAGAGAAGCTACAGAGCAAGAAGATCTGGTCTTTGCTGTTTAGGAGCTCACATCTTAGTGGGAAAATAGACATGTAAGATTTCAGTGGAAATGCTGCTTAAAATATGGATAGGAAATATGTAGTCTAGGTTTCAAATTTTGCCATTTCAACACTTACCTGTGCAGTCTAAGATGAGGCTCTTTGTGTTTGTGTTTCAGCGTCTCAAGGGGAGATAATAACACATTGTAAGTATGTGAGATGTTATAGGAAAACATCTACAGGGCTGGAGATGTGGCTCAGTTGGCTGATGTAAAGCACTGAGTTATAGCATTAGTACTGTAAGAAAAAAAAACAACTGCATACCATTTGGTACATAGTATACAATAAAAAATGGTAACAACTAATAAAAATCAAAGTGACAACGAGCAGTGACAAAATGATAGAAGAATTTGCAGAATACCCCAATGATACACGTGCTCATATTTTAATGGAATGTAAATATATTATGACTGAGTGATCAAAAATATTTAAACTATATACAATGTGTTATAGATTAAAAACTGGTGGTCATCTTAATGCCAGCTGAATTAAATCACCATGGTGCTGAGCACAGATGTTCCACCTGAGGAAAATTGCCAGCATAAACACAGACATGGAGAAGAAGGGAGACGTTGAGGCATTGTGGGTTCTCCTACGAGTTGCTGTTTGAGCTGTTGGTTCTCCTGGAGAAGCTCTGGTCCTCACATTGAGAGCATTGCTTCCTGGCTCCAGAGGGGAACACATGTGCCACTTAATCTCCAGGATGAACTTGTCATGCTGGCTTCCTGGCATGTACTCGACTGTGTTTGTTGAAGGAGCAGCTCAGGGCCTCTGTGTCACTGAGAATGGCTATGGTGCTTCTCAGGACAGCCCTGGTCTTTGTTGTGAGTGTGACTTCTCGGCTCCAGGGTAGAACCCTCAACCTATCAGCACAGCTCCTTGACCCCGCTGGCATGGATTTTCCACTGCTGACCCTTGGGCCTTCCCGGCACAGATCCATAAAAGAGACTAGCGAGAGTCATGCTTGTGGGCTCTAGACCTCCAGTTGGACTCGTGGGAGGCATTGTCATGAGCTCTGGGTCTTCATCTGGACTCATGTGGACATTGCTGTGGGATTTAGGCCCTTGATTAAATATTCTGTGTCTTTGGTGTTATGGATAGATATCCATAGATTTCCAGTTTCTTGTGTTAACTCTAGGTGATCATAAAATAATATTATAAATTCCATGTCCTGATTTTAATTGTTCTCCTCTCAACCCCTGACTACAACACAATGTTTTCAGTTTAATAAGAGAGTCTATAGCATTGTCATATGATTTGCATGCATGGTGACCTGAGGATCTAATTGACTGTGTATAGCATTTATGTGAATCACAGACTACACATTATTCTAAAAGTATACATACAACTGTAATTTTTTCCAGTGGCTTTCATCTTTGCTTCAGCAAGGGAGGCTAAAGCCCATTGGAATTTGACAAAACTTAAAGCCTAACCTTGCTTTAAAGAAATCTGATGTTTAAACCCATACTCATGAAACATGAATTATTAATTTTCTGGCTTAAAAATTAATCTTTACTAAAGGATTTCTAGCAAGCAGATTTGGAGGCTACCCCTTTGACTGAACAGGAGGCTACAATTAGTTCTTTTCAAGTTCTCCAATGCATTTATTATCTCAATTTTGTTTACCAGAAATTTATTGGACGTATAAATTTTTGAGAACATATTAAGTGAATAGTCTTCTAAATATCTCAGATTTTGGCTGTTGCTTAGGATGGTTGCTGTGGGTTTAGCTGTTGTTTAAAAATCCCAATGCAGTGAGAGTTGTGGCTGCTTGCAAGGAAGACTGCCCAGGCCTGCCTGCAGCTCCCTTAGTAGCAGAGCTTGCTGACACAAGGATCATTGACCTCCGTCTCTTAAGTGCTTGCACGAGCCAGGTATGCTTTGACACCCACCAGGAGCAATGCACAGAGCCCTTCCAGGGACTTCTAACATTTGTTACGAGGCAAAACAAATGACAAAAAACTCCCTGGGTGACTTCTGGGAGAAAATGGCCAATAGACAGCTATGGAGGCTCTCTAAGATACCCAGCTTAGAATCCAGGAATGGTGCGGTGTGAGGAGTGCTAAGCAAGGGGAGATATACCCTGCTAACCCAGGAACAAACTAAGCTGAGAGAAACCAACTGGAAATGCAATCCTGGTGCTATAACTGGAACAGATAAAATCTCAGCACGGAAACTGGAACCTGCGCCTCTGGAAATTGCGATTTGAACTTCCTGCCGCCACTGCTGCATCCCAAGCGGCACAGCAGGGAGAGAGACACAAAAGCTCTGAGAGTGGGAATCAGCCAACAGAGTTGAGAGCGGGACTGGTGGAGAGCCCTGCATCTACCCTCGATGAGTGAGAGGAACAGGGACCCTTCCATAGACGAGGAGGCCCCAAAAGAGGACATTCTGGGACTGGACAGACTAGCCAGAATAGGACCCTGTGGTGACTTTATTTATCTCATATTCCCCTCTCAAGCGGGATTGGTGCGGAGCGCTGGGCCTGAGTGACACTGCTGACAAAGACCCAGTAGGCTAGCCCAGCGCCTCCCAGTCCCAGCGCCTGGCAGTACACCCTAGCAGTGGAGCCTTCTCTAGTGAAGATAAGATAGATAAGAGGATCTATAACTTAAGAATTAAGAACATAAAAGAAGAAGTAGGGACATAAACAAATGAACTACAAAAGCTATTCACAGAAATAATCCAGGAGAATTTCCCTAATTTAGCAAAAGGTAAAGATACTCAGATATATGAGGCATACAGGACCCCAGCCACCTACAACTCAAACAGAGCTACACCCAGGCATATAATAATCAAAATTCCAGAAATCCAATATAAGAACAAAATATTAAAAGCTGTCAGAGACAAGAAACAGATCACTTACATGAGAACACCCATCAGAATTACAGCAGACTTTTTGGCACAAACCATCAAATCATGAAGAGCATGGGGGGAAATAATTCAAGCTTTGAAAGATAATAACCTCCAGCCAAGATTGATATATCCTGCACAACTGTCCCTAGAAATTGATGGGAAAACAAGGTGCTTCCAGGATAAAGAGGAACTACAGGAATTTAGAACCACCAATTCAACTCTACAGAGAATACTGCAGGATATTATCAAAAAGAAAAATACCAAGATCCCAGAAACAGTGGCAGAGAGGCCACAATGAATGGAGCAGAAAGCGAAATGAAGAAGACAAACAGACAACTAATGACAGAAAAAGAGCTCAACAGAAATGAGGTAGAGAAAGCTGGATGGTAAGAACAGCTATTTTGGAGAAAACAAGACATCATAATAGCTAGTGCTGATTTAATATCATCTTGTTTTGAAGTCCCATCAAGCTTTTGTTCTTCTGTCTCCAATGGTCTTAACATGTTGTATCTTATTGGATTTTATTAGATGTGATAATATAAACAAAAACTATAGACAAGGAGATTATACAGAAACCATTGTTCATTTTCCACTAGTTGATTCTAAATACCCTGTAATACATCATTCTCTTGAATGGTTTTACATTGTCTTGATATGTTTGATGCTAGAGTACATGAAGTTATACTCAAAGATTTCAAGGAAAGAGACACTATGCTACTTTTACGTTGGGATATCTGGTGGTGAAACACTATTTTGCTTAAATGGTTATGTTTTGACCTGTGTTGTTTTGTTCTTATACCCTCTTTTATCTCAATCTCCTTTTTTATTTACTTTTTTATCTTTTTAATTAAGGGAAAAATAAATAAAAAATAGCAGGATATATTATAGTAACCCACTTTGATTTCCTATTAACTTGATTTGAAACTCTGTATTGCTCTCACCATCTTGTTTTGACTGATTTTCCTCTATTCTGTTTTGCTTGATAGTACCAAGTTTGAAAGTATAGGCAACAACTGTAAAGACAATAAGATTCATTATGACGTCCATTCTGGTTGACTATTATCTTCTTATGAAGTCCTGTAATGTCTCCAATGTTTTGGTTTTATTGGTTTTGTTCTTTACTGTTTTGTTCAATTTTATTATAACTGATGATATAGGCAATTCTTTTTAAGATAGCAAGAGGCAGTATGGTAACCATTGTTGATCATCTTGTATTTTGTTTTTACATTATGTATTATGTCCATCCTTTTGATTTGACTGACTCTTGTTTTGTTATGTCACATTTGGTTTTACTCTCTTCAAAAAAAAAAGTAATAAGAACTGTGGGAGTAATAAAACCCAAAATGTGTAATTGTCATTGTACAAAAGAGAGGAAAAGAAAGTGCTCTAAATGATATAACTGCATGTATATTTAAGTGTATAAGATAGATAACCATATTACTGAGTTTTGTTGGATCATTGAACAGTATTGTTTGCAGTCTCACTGTTTGAAAGTCCACTTTATATGCTTTAATTTTGTAACTTGAACAACGATTTCTAAGATGACAATATGTAATCTATTAACTAGTGATTTCCTATTGTTTATTTTTTCTGAAATTCTATATAACTTGTACCCTTTTTGTTTTTTTTCTTTTACTCCTTAAATAAAATTAAAAAAAAAAAGAAAAAGAAATCCCATGCAGTGAGTGATCTCATTATGCTCAGTTTCTGCTAACGTTAGTTCCATTGGCATGCAACTCAATAGACGGGGCTTCAAAACTTTGCTAATGTTGCATTGCTTTGAGAATAGCTAGAGTATCCTAAGATTCTTCCATCATAACTTCCAATATTACACGTTAAAGATCTTAGATTAATGTATTCTCAGGTGGATTTTCCCTTGCTTTTTTTCTCCTGTGGCTCCCTGTCATTATTGATATCAACACCATCTCAGGGGCTTCAAATATGAGGACAGAAGAACATAGAAGTTTAAAGCACACCTTCCACCTTGCAGGTTCATTCTCCAAGGACATTTTTCTCTGGTATATAATTAATGAAATAAAAGGCGTAGTGCTCAGAAATGGCCATTTTTGACATATTCTATTTAAGAATTGATTACATTTTCTCATATTTGTGAACAATGTTATACTCAAAAAGTGTCTCAGGGGACACCTAGAGTTGAACAGAAAGCAATTATTTAATGAATGACTTTTAGAAAGACTGCCTAGCAGATTTATATTCTGCTAGTGAGAATATAAACTGTTCAAACTTTTCTGGAAAGCAATTTTATGTTCTTTGAATCAATTTATTAATTTCATCTGGGAGTTTATTGTAAGGAAATAATAAGAGGCACGAGATATGTGTGTAGAGATGCTTGCCATGTTAATAGCTGTAATGGCAAAAGTTAGAAAAAACTGAACTACTGTCTATAAGGGTTTGGTTAAATAAATACAGTACACCTATATGATGCTGTGGCAGAGATTGCTGGTTACCCCATGTCTATTCTCTTCTTTTTATCAAAAAGACTATATTTTTTGGGTCAGAAATGTGCTTAGTTGATAATACTGAATTTTATCACATCTCTTTGAGAAGAGAGGCTGAGTAAGATAAAAGCAGAAGTCCTTAAACGGGACTTACAAGTGCCTGGATTGCCGCCTGGACCTGCATCTTGATCACTGATATGATGGCTCAAGCTTTAACAGCCATTTGGGGAACCAGGAAGGAAAAGCTAGGAGAACTTCAGTGACTGCAATTCTGGCGATCCTTTGGGGCGTTTCTTAGTGTTGCCATATCATGTTGTTAAAAGTTAATGGAAAGCAAGAATTGTGATTATAGTAACTCTTACATGTGATTTCAATGCAGTTGTTTTTTTGTTTGTTTGTTTGTTTGTTTGTTTTTTGTCTTTTTCGTTTTTATCGGTACCAGGGATCAAACTCACGACTGCCTGCTTGCAAGGCAGGCGCTTATGCCGCTGAGCTAAATCCCCAGCCCTCAATGCAGTTTTTAGAAACATGTTTGTAATCAGGTTACATAGTCAAAGTATTGTGGTTTTAACCTTGAATTTTGGAACCCTTTGAATATTTTCTTTTGTGGAAATCAATGAAATAATCATTTTATATATGTAATAGTTACATTAATACAAATCTGAATAGATTAAGACGTTGACATTTCACAAATCTGCCACTGGATACTATGGTTTAACAAAATGTGTCTGGCTATCAGGTTCACCAGAGGTAGACTGTGGTGGTTTAACTAATGGTCAGCTTGTAACACTCGGCTGAACTGAATCAGTGTGGTGCTGGGTGTGGAATGTCTAACTAAGAATTGTTGTCAACAGCACAAAAAGAGAACTGAAAGGGAAGATGGCATACTGTTGCTGGAGAAACTTGTCAAGCTAGTTTTTCTAATGTGAATTCAGCTGTTCTCATGATCAGAGAAGCTTGGGACCTCACTTTTTGGGGAAGCTCTGGTCCTTATATTGAACTTTGCTTCCTGGTTCTAGTCTAGATCCCTCAGCCTGCTGCCATAGATCCTTCATCCCACTGATTCAGACTTTCTAACTTCCACCACTGACATTTGGGCCTTCCCAGTGCAGATCCTTGATACAGACTTGCATGAGACATTGTCGTATCTCTAGGTCTCCAGTTGGAATCGTGGAGGATATTGCCATGGGCCCTAGGTCTTCAGCTGGACTCATGCAGGACATTGCCATGGGATCCAGGCCCTCAGCTGGATTCTTTGGGTCTCTAATTTGTGGACCAGTCTCTTGCATCTTTATGCATTTAATTTTTTGAGTGAATGTTATAAAATAATCCTACAAAGTATATGTCCTGCATTAAATCTATTTCTTTGAAAATTCTGACAACACACGCACACACACACACAAAAATTGCCAATACATGCATGACTTGAGTGAATATAAATATACTTTTTAGAACGGAACAAAGCAACATAGATTAACTTGTACAGTTTCCAGACTCTCTAACTTACTACTTCCCCTTTGGGGCGTCTATCTTGGTAAAACAATATGAGATCCAGACAGCAAATGGTAAAACAATATGATATTTTCAGTAACATTATTATGATATAAATACTGAAAATGGAAATAAACTAAATAAACATTAGGAAAATGATGAACACTTAAAAACCAGGATTAAAGCAAGCAGCAGAACATTTTGAAACTAATGTAAAGCTAATAATTCATATCCCTAAATCCTTCCCACTCACTGAAGCAGTTGGAATGGAGGATCCTTCATGGTGTGGAAAACATTTCTAGCTTTAACAATTCAATTTTTGCCTGAGTCCACCACATGAAAGTAGCTTTACTGACCAATACAAGAGGTTTTTCTAAACCAGGTTAATGTGACAAGAGCCAATCCTATAAAAATCAAGTCTTGAGTTTCCTTTTCTCTGTCATGGAAGTGAGCTCTTGAGATTGGCTGCTAAAGAAAGAGGAAGTTACTGGGAATCTTGAAGTTCATCCCTTCCTGCTCCAAGGAAGGAGCAATTGTGTTTTAGTATTCTGCATCACTTGGCTCACTCATGTTTTAGGGACTCACTATGTAGACATTTGGGTTCATGATGAAGACAGCCTCCCATTCAAGTGTCCTGCTTTCATCTCTACAATTGCCTACACTCAGATGGCAGAATGGGTTGGATACTTCGACTGGTAGAAGATGAAAATCAATACATAACTGTCCCAGCTTCCTTGGGAGCAGCCATTCCCAACACATTCCATCCAGTCTCCCCAGAGTTCCCCAGGCAGGATTGAGCCTCAGTTCCCCAAGAGCAGCTACTAGGTCAAGAACACACCTTGTTTTAGCATTTCCCTCTTCCCAGTCTTTTCCCTGTTTTGTTTTGTTGTGATTATTTTCACATGTTTCCTGGAATGTTATCCCAAGTGAGTATCCTGCATCCATCCTCTGCACCTGGGTCTGTTTTTAGGGAAAACCAAACAAGGCAGATGGAGTGTGGGAAGAAAGATGAGACACTTTTTTGTCCAAATCTGGGAATACAAGAAAATTAGGATAAAAAGGTAACCCATCTCCCATGATATTTTGACCAATATTTTTAAAAATTAGAGCACAAGTTTATTGGAGTGGAAAGCATGTAGTAGGGGTGTTTCTCATGAAACTTCTGTTTCAGTGTTTGTGTGTGTGTGTGTGTGCTCACATGTACTGGGTGACAGTATGCAATGTATTTCTCTCTAGGACTTGTCCTCAGAAAGAGTTGAAGATCTCTAAACAAGAGGGTGCTACACCTACCTAAGGAATCCCTGTTTCCCTGGATAAGATCACGTAAGTATTTCTGAAAAAAAAAAAAAAAAAAAAAAAAAACATGATCTACAACAACAACTACATAACATTATTATCATGACTGGCACTCAGAATAATTGGGAGAGCCTTTTTTTCTACTGTTGAACACAGCATAACTTCAACTATGTAAGAGAAAAATTATGAAGTAAAAGACCAGAGCTATTCGCTCATTTCTAGTATTATATAATTGGTAAGTTCCAAAAACACTATAATTAAAAGACATTTAAAATGCAAGGTCTCACATGAAATAAGGGAATAGCAGGAGGCATGTTTTAATGATTAGGAGGGAAAACTGAGTTATTTTATTGTAGCTTTTTACATTATTATAAAAAATTCTGAATGATTGGGCTTATGGAGAAATGTGGTCCTGGAAAAACTGTTCGTGAAGCAAACAGACCAAAGGGCACTGTCTGCATCCATTGATCCGCAGATGACAGGGAGCTCCTACCACTGCGGTGCTTTCCATCTTCCCTGGGAGTAGAGCGCAATCCCAAGGAGCCAGTCGAGGGCACAGTCACTGGAATTGTGGTCATCCAGGAAAGACCGAACTGAGCATGTTTGCATGGAGGATGCCCTGGTAAGCACTTTGACTAACAGTCCCCCACTGGACTCCAGAGTCAAGAGGAATCTAGAGGCTACCTGAGCTACTGTAGTTTTTTAGGCACTGTTGCATTCCAGACGTTGCTGCAGGGCTGCAGTCCCAGCAGGAGGAGCACAAATTTGAAACCACTCTGGGCAATTTAGAGACAAGGACTCCATGGATCTTGCTCTAGTATACCTGGAACTGTGTTTGCTACACAGAAGAAATACTTGCTGGTGAAAAGTCTAGAGTGAAGGGGCCATCTGTTCACCGATCCTAATCTTAGAACCACCCAGCCTTACACAAGGCCCCAGGGAAGAGGAGGAGGCTTGAGTGATGGCCCAGCTCCTCCTGGCTGTGACAGCTGTGTAACTGAGCATTTTCTGCAGCCTCCTGAGTCCCTCAGATATGCGGTTACCATAGATCCTGCCGCCACCATCCATTTAGGACTGTGGACACACACTCCTATATGTCTGTTTTGAATTTTTGATTTTTCACATCTTTATTTAAGAACATGTAAATTAGTTGTAAGTATAGTGAATAGAAAATATATGGCAAAATGTTAAGAAGGGTTCTTCTGGACAATGAAGTTATAGGAGACAGTAAAATCAGTGGGTGTGCTGAGGACCAAACTCCAGGCTGAACTTTCTGTGTATGACCTTCTCATTTTGTTCTTGCAGTCACCATTGAAATAGCTTCTATTATTCTTTTATCACAGAGGAGAAAAATGTTTAATATTAAGAATGGCTACTGAGCAAAGCTATGTACCAAAAATAGTGTGTGTGTATATATATATATATATATATATATATATATATATAATTTTCACAACAAACTTTTGAAGTAAGTACATTTATTCCTCTATTTTACAGATGAAGAAAAGTGAGCCTTTAGAGAGGTTGTTTATGAAGAAAGAGGGAATGCTGGAGGTCTTGTTGCTTTCTTCTTATATCTCCAAGGGAGCCATAATTGGCTCTTAGTCAGTACCTGGGAATGTGATCCTAACAGAGTTCTTTGTGTTAGCAATCAATGATTTTGTTAGCTACACCTGGATCAGTGGATCATATGCAGTGTCTTATCTGATTGCTTTGCACTAACATCAATACTGGTTCCATTGTTGGTCTGGCGTTTTACTTGTGATGTCAGATTGTATAATAGAGTGTGTCAAGGGTTGTAATATCCATGTAAGAGGCTGAGACCCTAAAATCAAAAAGCCTTCCCTGGGAAGAGCCATTCCATACACAGTCCTATATTCTTCTGCCAAAGAAAAAGCCCATCTTGTGTGGCCTCACATAAAGGAGATTCTGAACCCTGGGTCTGATCATTTTGAACGCTAAAGACATGCATTTTTCTCTGATACTCTGAGCTGGGTCCTTTGCTACCAAAAAAAAAAAAAAAAAAAAAAAATCCTAGTGCAAAGTGCTATAGGATGTTGTGAGTTCATTACTGAATAACATACCCATGCAAGACCATGTAACTAAAAGGTGGTAGGAATGGGATTCCAGGACAGGCAGCCTGACATGCAGCTTGTTCTTTTAACCATCTTCTTCTACTACCATCTGTCTAGCTTTTATAGTGGTTCTGCACTTAAAATTGGTGCTATTGTTATTGTCCCTTCACATTCTTATTTTTCTAATTTTCTTTAATCTACCCACAATGTCTTACAGCCAAAGGGACAGAAAACTTGGAAATGTCCATGGCTGAAAAGAGAAAGTCAGAAAAAAGACCCTGACTATAAGAGGGTAAATTAGAGCACTACAATAAAATAAAGTGAAGGAGCAATAATTTTAAATAAAAAAACCAGTCTTATAGGAGGAAATCTTCTTAATCTGGAAGCAGGCAAAAATTTATGAAACAGGACATATAAACGGTAAGTCTTTAAAAAATAGATAAATGCTGAAGGGAAAACATTCTACTCTATTAATTCATGGTTAAGAGATTGAAAAGCTAAAGCATATATTGTAAGAAAATATCCGTATAAATATGTTTGATAAAGGACTGATATCCAGTATACATAAAGAATTCCCACTTTGTAATACTCAGAAAATATTAAAAATAGACGAGATTTAAATAGATACTTAAAAAGACATAGGAATGGAAATAAGCATGGAAAAGATTCTACGTATGATTACTCATTAGACAATGCAAATTAACAGCATAATCAGATAAGATTATACAGCTACCACAGTGGTCAAAATTTAGAGCAACTGGAGCTCTGAAACATTGCTTTTGAAAATGTAATAAATTTAGAAAAAACAGTATGGCAGTTTCTTAAGCACAGATTTACCATGTAACATAGCACCAGCTGCTCCAGTGCCTAAAATCAGTCTCTGACCTCTTTTCATTGCCAAAGCTGTCAGATTTCTCCACTGTAGTCACTGCTCTTTGGTCATAGTTTCCCACAAGCTGGCTCCCTCCTCTGTACCAAGAATCTTCCTTAGGTCAGTCTAGTAGGTTCTCCAAACACAACTGCCCTAAGCCTTCTACAATACCTGAATTTGGTTTGCAACTCTTTCTTATTAAATGTTCTTTTTTGGTTTCTGAGAAACATTTCTTCTCATTTTTCATACTAGGTTTCTGCCCTTCCTTTTGCCTCCACTCAATCTTCAGACCAATCAGTTTAGATGTTATTTAAAACATCCTGCAACATTTCCTCCACCCCTTCTCCTGGTGCAGCACTTCTCAAACATTATCATGCATGTGGTATGCCCAGGAATCATACTAAAAAGCAGGTTCTGATTCAGTAGGCCTGAGATATTTGCATTTCCAACAAGCTCCTGAGAAAGGATGATGCTGGGGGTCCAGGACATGCAAAATAGTGGTCTAGAGCACAGAACCTGCATACAGATTCAATAGCCCAATGTCAAGTACTTGGGAGTCACAACAGAAGAGTTAATCAGTTCAAGGGCAAACATTCGATGAAGAGTGCCTGTAACTCTGTTACTTAATTTTTTTAAAATGGAAAGCATTTTTCCTCAATACATTGGAGATTGATAGGAAGCACAAACCCCAAATTTTCTAGATAATTAGTGTTAGTTTTATATTAAAAACAGATGAAATGAGAAGGTAAAATTAGATAAAGGGAGAGTCCTGCTGAATGGTTTGGCTGAATAGCACTTCAAAGCAGGTTAGTTTTCCCCTAGAATATACATTGATCACTGAATGACAAGACAAAAATCAATCACTCTCAATTCTTAATAAATCAAACTTGTATCTTCTCACCTAAGATTGACCAAATGCATCCACCCCTTCCTTTGTGCTCCTGAAGTGACATTTTGTTTTAGATTCATTCTCCCTGACTTATTCAGCTAAGCCAATAATTCAGCCTTGATGGGATGTCAATGATCGCCCGGAAAGGTAACAGCCACGGTCCTTCTGTGGCTGTGAGTTGTGTAAGCTAGTTTCTTTTATCTTCTTTCCTACTATTTGTTAGAAACATTTTCCCAGAGTTGACAAATCCTGGCGGTTGTGAGATGCCTCAGCTGCACTTTCTTAGTCATCTGCAAACACAGACAATTTGTTATTCTAGTACTTTAGCAATAGACAGACACTGGATTTCACATCTTCTGAGAGTCCAGTAAGCTCCTGTTCACCACATATGAGGTGGCATTTGAATATAAAATATTTGGGAGGAATCTCTTGATGAAAGAAAGATAATATTTTATCTGTAGAGAATAGGCTGAATTATAAAGTAATTTATGTAGAGATTCAAGTAAAAGTCATTGGAAGTGCCCGTGGATGCTGTATTGTCACTGCTGAGTCAAAATTAGTTCAAAAGGACCATTTTTCTAAAGAATTTTTGAAACACTCAGAAAGAAGTTATCACTTGTCAAATAATAAATACAAACATCCAGATAATTTAAATAAAGTCACCCAAGGAATAGAAAATTTCCTTATGAGTTCACCGAGTAAAACCTGACACTTCTTTGAGTCACCTGATGAAGAATATTTAATTGAGGACAGACACGAAGTCAGACTTGATCTTATGGGGCAGACGGAACACTTCTCTCTGTGCCTGTGATCCTGCCACCCTGATTCATCCTACAGGAGATTCCGGGTTTGGGAGAACACCTCTTAAAGCACACAACGAGAGGGAGACGAAACTCTTTTTATCATTAAATCTCTGCTTGAGTTCACAATTACAATCTATGTTTTCATATTTCAAGGACCTGCGTGTAGGAAGTTGGCCTGTCCGTACTTCCTGTGGTCCCTACGGAGTGACCATGTGGCGTGGCTTGTTACCAATTGTATATCCTCTTGCATTCTAAATTGAGGTAAATACATCAGGGTTTCAATCTTGGTAAGACCATTTGCTCATTATGTGATTCTAAATAAATAGCCTTTCAGAGATAGAGTTAACACAAGTGCTGTCAATATTACCTAATTCTTAGAATGGTGAGAGTTAAACAAGTTGACACATGCAAAACACTTAGTTTAGTCCATAAAGCCTATTTCTGCTTTTGTTATCAGTGTCAGTTAACACTTGGTAAATACCCTGAGGAAAATCTACCTTTATCTGTGGAATAAAGTGTGATGTAAAATGTAAAGGCAATGTCTTCCAGATTAGTTGTTCTTTCCTGTGACACTAGTTGCCTCACTAACCCCTGAGCATCCTTTGAGCTTTCTTCTTTATTTATTCATTCACTCTTCCACTAATTTCTCAAATATTTATTGAATACCCATTATGATATGATATTAAGATAAATGCTCTGGAGTTCCAAAGGTAAGTAAGACATGGTCTCTAGCCTCACAGTGGTTCTAATAGAAGACAACTCTTTTCTGAAACATTTACTTTACAAGGGGCAAACTGCTGTAAAAGACAAGTGCTTTGAGAACACAAAGGAGGACCCATTTGGTTCAGATCTTGATTTTCTTTTTATTTTAATGTCCTCTTCATTCTCTATTACAGAAATTTTATATACTTTCAAAACCAAGTGTTTCCAAGCATTGATGCCTTCAACAGACACTTGTTTACCGAATGCAGCATCAGGCTTAGTGTTGAGTGCCAGTTACAAAACCTGTTTTCACCACCCTTGCAGCCGCTTGTACCTGTGCTCTACCCGCTTGCATTCTCAATTATGCCTCCATGTGTCTGCGTTCCCCAACTTGATTTTAAGTCTACTGAATTCAAAGTAGGAGCAAAGAGTAGGTGATTAAGAAGATGATCAAATTGTGTGTGTTGCTTCTAAATCTAATTGCCAAATTTAGTTTCAGGTTCAAGTTAAATTCTACCAAATATTTATATGAATTAAATTGATGGGGTTTTGGCAGTGGATACCTGAACAAAAATGGGGAATTGATTTTTGATAGAAAAAACAAGCTCATCTGCATCTCTGCTAATTTAATGTAGAATGGTTGGATTCTACCATTTGATATTGGAAATGCTTTGTCTCAGCATAATATTCACATTAATAAATTTTCATCTTTAAAAAATTTGCTAAGCACTTTCCAGATCAGTATAATTGAAATTCTTCATCAAATTCCTTTTAAACCCTTGAACAATTTTCTATACAGTGCAGTAAAATTAACTATACTTCCATTTTTATTTTACTAGAATTGTTTTTATTGGGTTCAGTTTTCCTTTGTGTAAGATTTCCAGTGAAGGTTAAATTTACCATTCAATTTTTATCAATATCAAACATTACTGATCATACTTTGCCACTTTGGGTTTTGTTTTTGCTGTTGCCCTCATTTTTATTCAGTCCAATGTTATCTAGGTCAAATTGGGCAGATCTAAATGTTGCTAAGAAAATATCAGTAGCTTCCATGAGTCAAATTTTCTATGTCAATTTTTAGTATTCCATATTACAAAGTAAATATTCCTCAGTCATGTTTGGAGTTTATAATATATTTTAGTAGCATTAGTCATAGTAAGTTTGTTATTTCTTACATGTCTGATGTTTTCCAGTGACCTGGTCAAATTGTCCTTGGGGTTAAAACATCAAATGGCACTGTCACTGGTGAAAGAATATAATGTCTTGCTTCAGAAGTCACAGCAGAGATGCAATAGTTCTTCATTTCTATGTTTATAGCAAACAATTTCTGGAAGAATAAGTTGGTGAAATATCTGCTGGTGATTAAGTGTATGTCCTCTCAGAATGCCAGCTGTTCAGATTCTATTTATGATCTCTGTGACTTTTGACAAGTTATTTATTTGTGCCTAAATGACCTCATTTGTAAAACAAAATTGTGAAGATTAACTGAATTGAACTAAAACCAGTGCTTTGCACATAATGAATATGCAATAAAAGTTACTATTAGCATAATTATTTCTATATTCTCTAAATATCCTTTATTGTTTAATATCTGTGTTCAGCTGTGACTCGATTTCCTCTTTGGAAAGTGGTGTTATTAGTAGTCTTCTTACATGGTGTTGTTACATAATCTGAAAGCATAAACGATTGTAGACAGTAATGTTTTTTTTTTTTTGTCTTTTTGCTTTTTATCGGTACCGGGGATCAAACTCACGACTGCCTGCTTATAAGGCAGGCGCTTATGCCGCTGAGCTAAATCCCCAGCCCCCGCAGACAGTAATGTTTGACACAGGAATAAGTGCTCTACAGGTGTTGCATTAGCAGCTACTATATTTTAAACATCCAGTGAATGAGTCCATAGTATCCATCATTGAGTATAAGAGCTATTTTCTGTAGAGATCATTATAAAGGCATTATTAGAGTCATTATTAGATCATTATTAGAGTCCTGAGGTCAAACGGTGATACTGACTAGTATGAAAAAGCCTTAGAAGACAATGTACCCATTTAAAGTAATAATTCACAAAATGTTAGCTCCAGAAAAATAAAAATTTTTGTCCTTTGTTATCTGCTGTACATTCAACATCTAGAACAGTGCATGGTACATCTTAGGTAGTCTATTGACAACTAAATGAATGAATGCATATGAACATTTGGATATGTGGTAACATTGAAAATATTTCATATATGTTAGTAACTGAAGCAAGATATAAAGTTATTTTTCATTATTAACACACATTTGGAAAATATATATGCAAATAGAGTAGAATGTATAGCACTGAAAATAACTATGTTGTTATATTGTCTGTAGCCTTGCTCTCTTCTCTTTTTATAAGGTAGATGAAAGGAAAGTGGAAAATTCCTAAAGAAAAACTGCCTAATTAAATTTATATATGCCACTACATCTATGATAGTTCAGATTTAAAATGTCCTCCAACAGTCTCATGTATTTGAAGGTGGGGCTTTCACAAGGTGACAAGATCATGAGGTCATTAGACTTATCAGGGAATTAATCTATTAATGAGTTCATAGCTGAATGTGTGGTGAGGAGGTAAGGTCTAGTTGGGGGAGATGGTTCCTGGGGGTTGTGCCTTTGGAGAGTGTATCTCTCCTCTCTCTGCTTCAAGCTGCTGTGAGGTAAATGCCTTTCCTCTGCTATGTTCCTCCACCACTAGAGTCGACAGCCATGGAGGAACTCTCTGAAATGGTGAGTCAAAATAAATTTATCTTCCTTTAACCTGCTGGTGATAAATATTTTGTTCCAGCTGTTGGAAACTGGATAATAAAACATCCGTATTATTTTTAAATTGATCCTGAGTAATGTAATTATGATTATATAAATTGATCCTGAGATATCTAATTATGAATATAGAAAAAGTATGATTTAAAACAACTGGAGTCCTTGAGTAGTAGGATTATTTTTATTTTTGATTTGTGAAGAAAAGTATATAAAAACAAAGGTACATAAACATAAATGAAACACACATTTGCAGATTATATTTTGAGCTGATTACCTATCAACCCAAGCTCTAAAACCTACCATATCGTAGAAGTATAAATGTTCATAATGGTCTTTCCAGGGGCACTGCAAGAACTTGGACCATCAGAGATTCAATTACATTCACCATCTTATACTTCCTAAGGGGTAGAAGAAGCTAATGCAGTTTAGAAAGATTTTTCTATGGAAAGGTTTGAACTAAGGGTGTTGGGTTAATTTTTAGTTAACCAGAAAATTTAATTAACCAGAATGACTTGTCTCCTGAACACTCTCATTAAATGAGGTTTGATTGTACTTTAATTTCTGAAATTGTTATCAAACTGTTTTCTGTTAATAGTACCTAGTGAGAAAAAAAAAAGGTAGCTTCTTTAATAAATGGTGCTGGAAAAACTGGCGCTCTACATGTCAGAGACTAAAACTACACTCATGTTTATCACCGTGCACTAAACTAAAGCCAAAATGGACCAAAGATCTGAATACTTAAACAGAAACACTAAATCTACTGGAAGAGAAAGTAGGTAGAAATCTTAAAGACATAGATGTAGGCAAAGAATTCATGAACAAAACCCAGACTGTACAGGAAACACTTCAAAGGATCAACATCTAGGATCTCATCTTATTGAAAATTTTTGCACAACAAAAGAAATCACCAACAGAGTGAAAAGATAAGCCACAGAGTAGGAAAAAAATCTTAGCCAATTGTCCTTCAGACAAAGTACTTATATAAAACATATAAAGAATTGAAAAAATCAGGCCCCTCCAAATTCAAAGACCCAATCCAAAAATGGGCATCTGAGATGAATATGCACATCTCAGATGAAGAACTACAAATTGCAAATAAATATATGAAAAAATGTTCAACATCATTGGTCATTCAAGAGATGCAAACTAAAACAACACTGAGATTCTACCTCACTCCAGAAAGAATAACTATTGTCAAAAAATCAACCAATAACAAATGCTGAGGAGCCTTTCATATATATATGATATAGTTAAGATAGCTATACTACTAGTTTCTATTAGTTCATTGAAAAGAAAGATTTGTGCTTATATTGTTTGATCCATTTATACTGCTTGTAATCTGAGCAACTACATTGAAAATAATACACAATGTATCAACCATTGTTACTCTCCAGTTATCTTCTTTTGAAATTTTGTACCATTTTTCTTGTTTTTTCTCTTTAAAATAAAAAAACACCTAGTGAAAAAAAGTAATCTTTAGAGTTAAACTGCATACAGAAGATTTGATTGTCCTGGGTCTTAAAAACAAGAACACAATAGGAGACCAAAAAACCCTACCTCTTAAATGGTCTTTGTGTGACTTTGATCCTGAGATTTGCTGCATGAAAGAATTAGATCAGTTAGAGAGAAAATGAGGTTATGGGCTTACAGTTTCTATTTAAGGTTATATGAATGTTATAAGACTCATTTTGAGAAAGTATATATTAGCCATTAAAAATTAATTTATTTTTATTTGTTTTCCAGATTAATGGTCCTTCTAAAATAGAAAATTGAATTAGGGCTTAGTTATTTTCATTTGCAAAAGCTAATTGAAGCACATATTTATGAAATTAGACATGGAGAAGTGAACCACCACCACCCACTCAACCACAACAAGAACGATTTTTTTCACTTCTGAGACTGGATAAAAGAGAAATTAATATGCATGTGATCATTCCTGTCTTCTTTCTTAACACTTCTGGTATCTCTTAAGGAATATGGGCCTTCTGTGATAATAATGGGAGAAGTGAAACATCTAAGGGAGTTGGGAGGCCTGTGAGAGATAAGGCTTTGCAGACTAGATTCGATGGGATTTTTTAGTATCAATTTTTAGTTTATCAGAGTTTACACAAAATAATGAAGACACAGTTATCTCTAAAGGGTGTGTAATAAACCTGCTACCCCTCAAGCCTGCCCTTCATCCCATCCCCCAGCGGTGGGCTTCCTCTCAGGGTCAGCAGCACCTGGACAGGCAAGCCTCAGTGCACAAGTGATTGTTAGTCAAGTCTGTGCTGTGTGACATTTGCTGGGGTGCCATTGGCCAAATCAAGTCATGTGATCCAGCCCCACATCAGTGTGGGAGGGAACTACACAGGGCAGGAATGCTGACAAGTGTGACTTGTTGAAGACTACTAATAAAATAGTCTCTACCACATGCTAAGACAACCCCTGTCTCTTTTTGGTGATAATTTCCATCTTCCTAACTAAAAGTTGGAATTCTGAGAGCTAAGTATAATGACTCTGTGTCTGTGTGTGTCTGCGTGTGTGTGGGGGGGGTGGTACTGGAGGTTGAACCAAGGATTTTTGTACTGAGCTACATCAGCAGCCCACTAGCTGGGTTTCTGGCAACCAGTGTTCTCAGCATCTAGAGGCTGTTTGTATTTCTTGCTTTCTCATGTCGCATATGTCTTATCTCTCTGGCCTCTCCTAAATCAGCTCCCTCCTCTTCTGCCACATCCCTCTGCTTTCTCTCCTCTTCTATATTTAAGGCCATAGATGATAATTACATTGGGCCCACCAAGTAATCTGGGATAATGTCCCTACTCATAAGCTTAATTTCATTTGCAAAGTTCCTTCATGGCACTATGTATATTAGTGAGTGAATAAATAGAGGATAATGATCTTGGGAGGACATCTTTGGAATTCTACTCACCATACCCCCAAATCTTTCTCTTTCCTGTCTTATATTCTTCCACAAAGTTTCCTCTAAGAAGTCTTAGGTCGTAGAGTAAAGATATCTTCTTATTTAAAAGTACTCCTGAACCACAAGAGTTAAAAACAAAAAAAAGAATTAAGCTAAAAATCATCTGGGCCAGGAATACAGCTCAGCAGCACAGCACCTGCCTGGCAAGTGTGAGGTTGTGAGTTAGATTCCCGCTACCAAAAACAAAACAACAACAACAAAAAACCCTGAAAAATATCTCTTACCCCCAGTATAAAGAAAGCAGATAGGAGAAATGGAAATTCTGAGTAAAGAGAAGGGAATTCAAACTTAGTGCTGTTGAGAAACAAGCCAATTTGGTTCAGACGAGTTCTAGAAAGGCTCAAGATTCAAGGTATTTGGGGTGAGGGATGAAAAGTCCTGTAGTTCCTGAACTCTAGGGCTCCCCATGAAAATTCCAGCCCATCTCCTGACTCGTCTCCTGACTCCTGACATGAGATTTACCAGCGGCATTACCCACTTATGTGAAAAGCTGCCAGTCAGCTGTTTAATGTTTGACTCCCTCAGAGCAACAGCAAGCCAAGGAATACCAGACATTTGTAATGGCAAAGACAAAAACAAACTAGGAAAAAATAAACCAGAGAAAATAGAGACAACTGGGGAGCGGAAATTATAATGGATATTCTCAGAGAGCTACAAGAAATTCTTGCTTCCATAGAAGGAGTGTGCCATAAAAAAGAAACAATCAGAGACAAGAACCATTTATACATTAAAAATATACTAATAAAAATAAAATACATGGTTTGAAAAATGAAGTCTAGAAAATCTCCCTGAAAATGTCTACAAGAGGTACAACAGGAAATAAGACAATATTTAAAGGTCATTAGAAAATGCAATATCTGAATGTTAGAGTTCCAGAAAGAGAAAAACAAGACACAAATAAAAAGAAGGGAAGTATTATCAGAAGATGAATGCAGATTTTAGACTTAAGGACTAGAATAATCCTATCCTTGCGCCCAGCACAATGAACGTAAAAAAAGACTACACTGATATATATTATTGTGAAATATCAGAAAACCAGGATAAGAAAACATTCTGAAACAAATGGCTTATATTCAATGATCAGGAATCAGGGCATGATTGGTCTTATTAACAGCAGAGGCAAAAGTAATGGAATACAACAACGATTTCAAATTACCAAAGGAAAATTAATTTAACCCTAGAATTCTGCACCTAAACTATCAAGCCACTATAATAGTAGAATAAAGACACTATAAAACTTGCAGGTTAAAAAACAAAAATCTCTTGTCCACTCTTTCTCAGAGTGTTACTGGGTTGTATCTCCACCCCAGCTCCTAATCACACACATCCACATCCCCTTACAATGACGGATTAAACTGGGGTCCAGGAAGCAGGAAATGCAGCAGAGAAACAAATGTCCAAGATGCTGGCAAGAGAGGTCCAGGGCATAGAGCAGGACAATAGATATAGAGTGACCCATCCAATCCAGAGGGAAAAGCAAAATCAAAACACAAGAAAACAGAGGAAATGATTATTCCTCTGACAAATTTGACTGGATAAAGATAAATAAATAAATAAAAGACAGTAAGAGACATTATAAAATGATTATAGACCATAGGCAATCTATTTTCTAAAAAAAACAAGTAATTTGAAAATGAAGTACATTTTAACTTGAGGAAAAAAGTAGTGAAAGAAAGCAAGTTGATCATGGTATACTATTTGCCTCAACAACTAACAATACAAATAACAATGCATGTGGGTTTAATTTTTTTTAAAAAAGTGAGATATAATTATGTTTACAGTTCCAGGAGGCCTGCAAGAGAAGGTTGAAGTAAACCTGTTAAAAATCAGGTGACAGAACTGAATGCAGAGAGCTGGATGAGTAGAATAGTGAAGGGCTCAGAAATATGTACCTTCGGAATCAACTTGATGTAAAGTTTGATGAGCTAAAATGTCATATTTGAAAAAGCAGCAAACCCAGTCCACAGGGTCTCTCTCCTCCCCAATCCCACGGCTCCCCAGGATCTCCAGCTCTGTGAGGGAGACAGAAGCTGTCATGCACCCAAGCCAGGGGAGTGCCCTTCCCTCTGCTGAGCCTGGTGAATAGCCTGTAGACAGTTGTTTTAAGTGGCTAAGTTTTGGGAGTAGTGTGGGAGTAATTAAGTGATATACACATAATTAAATTTGATAGATTTTTCTTCCATATAACCACCTCTTTGAGAAGTACATTGTATATTGCTTAAGTGTATAGTCTCTGGAAAGAGATATTTATGAGCTATTTTTCTGTTTCTTTAGTATTACTATTATTATTATTATTTTTATGATAACTGGGATTAAACTAGGGGACCTCATAATGAGCTATATACTCAGCTCTTTTTTAAATTTTTTATTTTGAGACAGGCACTCACAAGGTCCTAAATTGATAAGCTCAAATTTGGTTGGGCTCAATTGATAAGGTCAAATTTTGGGTGGGCAGGTTGGGCTCAAATTTGTGATCCTGCTGTCTTGCCCTCCACAGTGCTGGAATGATAGGCATATGCCACTATGCTTTATAACTCATTTTCTATCCGTAAGGCCTAGAGTAAATCACTTATCTGTCTCTTATTTTTCTCATCTGTAAAAGGAAACAATAGTAATGTCCATATGCATGTTGTGAAGATTTAATGATTTAGTAAACATAAAGCACCCCAACATACACCAAAACAGAATCCACTGAAGTCTGTATACATTCCCAGTGTCATCTGTCATTTCATCATTGTTCTTTAAGCAGATAAAAAGGCTTAAAATTTAACTACTTTATACAATTGGGAAGTTTTAGATTCTAGAGGGGTAAACCCTGGAAATAAGACCACTCCTGTCAGACCAACTGGCTGGTCAGAGAAGGTCTTTCATTTGTGTGTTTATAGCAGAAAAATTAAGATGTATGAGAGTATAGGGATCAGGTTTTTAGTGTACTATTTACAACTTCAGCACTTAGCAGCTCACGGCCATCGGATTTATCATCTGAATTCTTCCTTCCACTTTATTATTTGAGGCAAATACTGGATATCAAGTCATTCACTTGCAAACACTTCAGTATGCATTCCTACCAAATAAGACACTTTTCAAGTGACTGTAAGCGAATATAGTTTAACTTCAAAACTTTTAATAAACTGCCAATATTACCAAATACTAGAGATAAATTACACAGATAATTTTTCTTTATAATTTGCACAAATTGAGATCTAAGCAAGATCTATCATTGCGATTAGTTGATAGGTATGCCTGAGGTATGCTTAGCATAGTAAAGACAGGAGAAATGTTTGATTCTTTCCTTTTATTTGTCAGTTTTCAGAATAAGATTCAGAATACCAAATCCTCAAAAGGTGAGAAGTACTCAGATTTTCTGGTCTTTGTGCAAAATCATTGCATGAGGTAATTTCTTCCTTAGAATCATGAAAGCTTTTACATTCAGGTGGCCTTTTCTGGAACAACTTCCTCCTCCTCCCCTCCTTCCCTGATCTTTTTCTTCCTCCTTCTCTGCCCAGTCAATTCCTATTCATCCAGTGAAGCCTAGCTAAGATGTTACATCCTAAAACATATGTCATAGAACAGATTGCAATTGGATGCTCTTAATATTCTATTTCTCAACTCTGCTCATACCACTCACGCCTTTGTCTGTTCATGTCCCATAGCTCCTTGTAGTGCTCTTTCTTGGAGTCTTTATAATGTTGTATCTTATTTATTGTTCACATATGTTCCCACAATCACATGATGGTTCCCTGGGTCAGTAAAACTCTAAACAAAATGCAGGTCTTACTGAAGTGACCTATTGCTGGCTTCACACTTCAGTGAAAAAGGTAAATTTCTAGAATTGATCATGTTGGTAAACTTTCCAAGGTCTCTTGTTATTTCCATTTCGCTTCCTATTTATAAGATAATACATGGGCTTCGGTTTGTTACTGAATTGCCTATCTAGGAATGGTCTTTATGAGTCCATGCATC